ACCTGGAATGCACCTGGCCGGGGAGGTACACAACTTGCGACATCAGCCCTTGCAGTTTGACCCATCGCTGTGGCATGGTACTGAACCATGGACTGGCAAGCGCTTGGTCGTTACAGCGTATACGGCCGGCTTGTGGGACAAGGTGTCGGACCAAGACAGGTCATATTTGCGGATGCTGAATTTTCCTTTGCCATCACAGTGCGCAGCAGCAGCAGCGCAACACATCAGCGAACAGGACAGCAACATAACCACCCACAACAACCTTGAACCAACTACCTCTAGCAACCCAGGTGCTGAGGGCAGGGGTGAGTTTCGGACTGATGTGTGTAGCGCTCAGGCCGGTGTCAGTGTTGATCAGGGCGGCAGTGCTCCGGTTGAGTTCGGGGAAGAGTGTTTCGGCGAATCGATAGGTGAACCCGATGGACCTTGCGCAATGGCTGTCGAGGAAGCTGATGAACTAGACTCTGCACTAGACTCGTGTGAAGGACTCGAGGGTCTGGGCGATGAGGAACATGCCAAGCGCAAGAGCTTGAAGGACTTGATAGCCCAGGGCTTACGACATCCACATCGCAAGCTCAAGGCTGCTGATGTAGCTCTGGGTTCGTTGGCTATAGACATAGCTGGTCCGTACAAGGAAGGATTCGGTGGTTACAAGTACGGGTTGATCGGGGTGTTTACCTTCCAGCACAGTGGTCCTGGATTGCACTTTGTGCGGCTACTTCGGAGTCGCAAGGTGGATGAGGTCCAAGCTGGGGTCATTGGAATCATTAGCCAGCTGACGGCGATGACAGGGTCAAAGGACTTCGTCGTGCGTTTGCATTCTGATAATGCTTTGGAGTTTGTGACGCAGCGATTCAGTGACCATATCAACAGCCAGGGGATCTTTAAGACCAAGACGGTTCCTCACAACCCCGCCTCGAATGGCAGGGCCGAGCGAGCTGTGCAGTCATTGAAACGTGCAGCTTTGGCATTCCTCATAGAGGGAGGCTTGGAGCGGCGGTTTTGGCCGTATTGCATCTTGGAAGCCGCATCGTGTCAGCGTGACGGCGTACTGGGAAGCAAGTTGCCGAAGCTGGTGCCGGGAGATTCGTGTGCTGTCAAGGTACAACAGTCTGAGCCTTTTGAGCCGAAAGTTGAAACAGCGAGGTATTTAGCACGGGATCCCGAGACCTCTAAGGGGGCTTTTGTGCTTGTTAGAAGGAACGGTCGAGATCAATTGACCCGAGCGCGAGAGCCGGCCAAGTTGGAGATTAGCGGTGATGAAAAGTGGAGGCCTTGCACCCTGGATGACAAGCATTTCTGGGTTTCATCAAAGGGACGGGTCAAGGAGATGACAGAAAAAGTCGAGGTACCAACTCTTGAAGAACGACTCTTTGGACCTAGTGGTGAAGAGCTTGTCTTCGGGGCCAGTCCGGAACATGGGGATGTGGTCGCCAAGGTTGCAAGGGTCTGCGAAGAACCGCGGTCAGGTATGAATACGACCCAGGAGGAGGGAAAGTACGCTCATTGGTCTTCGTGCATGGAGCAGGAAGCTTTGGATGCGGAACGCATGGCAGCTATCTTGGCAGAACAGCAACTGGTAACGGAGACGGTGGGAAATGAAGTGCTGACTTCGGGAAGTGTTCTCAGTCAAAGAAAATGGCGAGATTCAGTGACGGGCGAGATTGGAAATATGGCTACAAAGGAGGTGTGGATCCAATGTAAGGCCTCTCAGGTGCGGGAGAAGTTGGGGCTCAGAGAACATGAACGGACCCCCATTCCTCTTCCGATGAAGTTGGTCTTGACTCGCAAACCGTTGCTGGAGGGCGGAGACTTGACAGAGGAGAAGCATTTGAAGGATCAGATTCCCAAGGCAGCTAGCGATTTGACAGCTGCGAGCGCTCAGGAATTAGCCGAGCTTGCGGAACTAGCAGCTTTTAAAGCCAAGTGTAGATTAGTCGTATGCGGCAACTTTGAACAACAGCCTGGCGATGACATCTCAAGCCAGAATGTCGACGCTGATACGCTCAGATTCCTGGCGCACAAGTGGGCATCAAATAGGAACTGGAAGGGGCTTGCATTTGACATAAGCGCTGCCTTTCTGAACGCGTGGCTATCGGCAGGTACCAAGATTACAATGAAGCCACCGGCCATCCTTGTCAGGTTGGGCTATTTCGACGAGGACACCATTCTGATTCCCCAGAAGTCGTTGTATGGTTTGAGGCGCGCCCCGAGAGACTGGGAACAGGAAAGGTCTGCAAAGATGGACGGCGTGGTACTTCCAGCTGCCGAGACCGACGAGCTTGGAGACTTGGTCCTTCATCCGCATTCTGACATCCCAGGGCTCTGGACAGTGCTGGATGGCGAAGCGATTGTTGGCTATGTCACCATGTTTGTCGATGACGGGTTGGGTATAGGACACTCCGAAGCCATGCTACGTGTTGTAGACCACATCAG